AAAAATAATTCATTGTCTTACCCGTTTTGCCAATTTTTTTTTAGTACCAAAACTTCGAAGCTTCTTAATCCGTTCAATATCCTCTGATGGAACCTGCTCTAAAACTCTCTCCAAAACATTTTTAAAATTCTCCACCTCCTTTTCGAGAACGCCTGTCCATTCGCCTTTCTCTACTCGTACAAATAGCGCTGTTAAAGAATGTAACTAAGTAATTATGACAATCACAAGAGACTGTACCTGACGGTTTCCATTCCAACCACATCACAGAGACCGTGATCGACGATAAGCGACCACACATTTATGTCATACCAGGATTCGAGATGTTGCTTTTGCAGTATTTCGTTAGGGTCTTCATAATACGTAAGACTTGCAGTAAATGGGATATATGTCATTAAGTCTTTGTAACAATATCGCCGATAAAAGGCAAATACTCACAACTTCCTCATCACGATTTCGGCCCATTCAGAATCGTAATGTTTTAATCGATCATAAGGTTCATCCTCATTTAGATAGGATGTTGTCTTTAAGACTCGTCTAAGATCACTTGTCGTTTGAACCTGAAATTGGCAATAACATCAGGTTTTGGACAAATTGAAAAAAAGCTTTAGTTATCCTCAACTTACATCCGAAAATCTCATCATAGAATCTGCAAAATTACGATCAGCCTCTGGCATCTTTTTGACTGCACGCTGGACTTCATTCCATTCTTCGATTGTAAATAACGACTCTACTTCATGGTCATCAAGATCAATGACCCATGAATGTAGAATTGATTCAACTGGCAGTCGCTCACAATGCTTAAAGAGAGTGTCCTCGACGCACTTCCCAGAAGAGAGAACCCACTTGTGAGCTACACTCATTTTTTTGTAGGATTCCCGGAAATTTTCGAGTTGTGATGATAGCAGTAATGGTGGAGGACACTGATCTTCAATATCACTTGTATTATGAAGGGGAATGAGTTGTGAACTTAGAAAAAAAAAAATTCGAAGAAATTTCAGCCAAAGAATTACCTTGGTACGTGATCTGAATTATCATCACCCTCAGAAGCAGGTATGTAATCCGAATCATCGGATATAGAAATAGAGTCGACCTAGAAAAGAATTTCACCGATTAGCAATTATTCAGTCTTTTGATTGCTATGAATAGTCAGAACATCGTGTTATCCGAACAATTTGTTTCAATATACCATACCTTGCCTTTCCCGTTGCCCACTTCACAGGAACCTCGTTCATTGCTTGATTTCCGCCGTTTCTTGGTTGAGTTGTCCGTTTTTTGCGAAAATAGATTGGATGATTTTCTTTCGGAGGGACTTTTAAAGAACTTGTCGATATCGTCGCTTTCATCCTAAAACATTAAAATGCAAAAAATTAGTTCTTTTGGTTCTAAATTCTAGACAAAATGAAAAGTATATACCTTTTTCTGATTGCTTCCTTTTGAGACAGTTTCCTTGGGTAATCCATTATTAAAAGTCCCGCCATTGATAGTTCCGCTATTTATCGTATTTCCACTGATCTCCGGTTGGTACATGTAAATCTTGTGCGAACGATCGTTCCATTTTCTTGCCTCCTTAAAATCTGGTGGTCCATCCTGACATAAGAGATTTATAATTATTAAAAATTATTGGTCGATTGGCATATCCGTCTATCAAATTTCCTATCCCAACTGGTCAGCGAAAGGCTTTAACATCAGACAACCGAGTAGGCCATCTGTGCCCACCCAAGGCTTTAGACAACAGACAACCGACAACCGAGCAGGTCATCTGTGCCCCAGTGGGACCAGTGTTGGATCGGGCGAACGGCCTTTGAACACCAAACAACCTAGCGAGTCATTTGTGCTCCAACATGGTTTTGTGGCTCGGCGAATATATAATATATATCGGCCTTGAACAGCAAGAACCGAACGGGTCCTTGCCATGCACTATTCTTCCAGCAAACGTTCTAACAAAAGAATTTTTTACTTGCCTTAGAGTTAAGGTTAGGTTCCCTATATCTCTTAAGAAGAAACACTGCTTTTTCTCTTCGCCTTCCTTGCTCATTGTCCGCAATTGTATCGAGACTTCTGAGATACTTGTCTATCTTTTTTTGGAAATCATCATCGTCACATTCCTCTAAAAAATCAATAATGTTCCATTCAGATGATTTACGACTGAAATATTCATGGATTTTGTACATTAATTATATTGCGTTTTTTTTGTATGTGAATAACTGAACGATTAAATTTTGCATTGCATCAACGGTACGCGTATTGCGTACTGACTAAATCACATGATACAATGATAATTTTATTGGCGTTTGTGCAGATCAGAAATTCATTAGTGAATGCAATTACATATCTTTATTTCTGGAAAGTTTTTTAAAAAAATTCAATTCCCACAAGAGAACTTTCCCGAGATAAAGTAATTTCGAACCTACAGTATAAATTCGGAAGATTAGCAATTGAGAAAAAAATAAGCAATATTTCCGATCACACTTACCACCACGATTCATTTTCAGAACATTCCAGTCCGCCTCATATACAAGAAATTTATTGCTTAATTTTTTCCGCGTTATCGACGGTACGATACTGCGCAAAGTTTCAAGAATTCGGCACGTGAAGATGCTTATGGATTGAAACATATTGCGCCAGACTTTTTCTGTGCCGTTGCATGTGATGAGAATCATGTGAGTAATGCTATTGTACGCGTGATGATGGTCAGTGATTTTCTCGGCGAAGATCAAAATGCCGATATATAACAAGAAGAGCAATAT